CTAACCGATTGCGCCACTGGAGCCCTGACACTAACCCGTCCCGAACGGTTTATCAAGGGCTCGCCCGGCCCCGGCGGGGGAAGTGCGGCGCACTCCCGCCTGCACCCCGCGCTGAGCGGCGGCCCGAGGCCGCGCCGGCTCCGTGCCCGGGCCGCGCTACCCCGTTAGCGGCGCGGGGAAGGCATGACGGCGCTGGAGGACGCCGCACCGCTCGGGGAAGGCGGCGCCCGCGAGCAAGGGAGAGAGGCGAGAGGCGAGCGGCGGCGGGGCCCGGACAAAGCCCTCCCGGCCCGGCCTCCACTCTTGGCGGACGGGCAGTGGCCGTGGCGGTGCCGGCAGAGCCCGGCCCCCTCCGCCGCCGGGCGGGGCGGGGCGGCCGTGGCCGGTGACGGGCGGCAGCGCCTTGGCCTGAGCCGTCCTCAGTTCCGTTTTCCGGGGACGAAGCCCGGCCCCGAGTCGTTCGGGATCGAGCCTCCTGATGGCCCTCGATAAAGGCTCGGGCCGCTGGGGCAGCGGATTTCAGACTCTCGCTCAAGGGCTGCCGTGGGGCCATGATGCACCCTCGGTCGTGCTCAGGACCAGGCCGCAGCAAAAAGTGACCAGTTACTGTCGGGGAACTAAATGTTGATATCTGTAGCATCGCCGCTGTGTGTGACACGAGGGGTGCCTGGCACTCTCAAAACAATTGTTCAACACCACGTGTGCATTGTTAAAGTATACCTCCAACATGGATTTATTCTGCAGTCAGATCTGTCCTACCTTACGTAGCAAAAAGATGGTAAACATAATCATCAGCAGCAGAAATTTAAACCCAAGTGTGACTCCACTACCTCTCTTTCCCCATGATCCCCGTGGTAAATAACCCAAAACTTTTTGAACAGAGAGGACGTGCTCCTCGCTTGCCGAGGAAGTTTGTCTCCTATAAGTGTTATTACTGTGGGCATTACCTAAAATACATTTCAGTGGTAATCACCATTGACAGGTGAAGCAGCGTGCAAATGCTGTATGTGATCCTTGATGAAGGTGTCCGGCTTGGAGAAGAGAACTGGCCGTTCATTTCTGGAGAGAAATTTTTCATCATTTAGGTATACCTATGGCATACCAGAAAACGGCAGCAGCCTTCATTACCCTTAACGTCATTATGGTAACAAAACAGTCTATATCTCACAAAGATTGCTGGGGGGGGGGGGAAGGTAGTATGGAGAATGTCGTTTAAAAAGTATATAGCCCAGTGTCAATATTTACCTTGTATTTTTTTGTTAACATATTTTTCTCGCTGGACACAAGCTTGTAAATTTAAATCTTCAATGGGTTTGGTGATTGAGGAAGGTAGAAAATGAGAGTAAGTGTTGTCCAAAATGCAACTTTTTCCAGTAACCCTTTTTTCCTGTACTCTCAGTGCAATAAATGAATGGAGCAGTTTTGTGTTTCAGTACTCTTGCACTTCTCTGGCAACAAAAGATTACCCATCAAGTCCTTACCTTTGCATAAAAGGAAAGGAGAACAGAAACCCCAGGTGCTGGAACAGGCTTTGATGGACGTGAAGAGCATTGTGAAACTATCAAGAGACTAGCAAGTAAAATCTAGGCCCCAATCAGTTCTTGAGGTGTGTGAGCTGGACATATTTACATGGATGCCACAGAGACTGTAACACTGGTTCGTTTCTGTGCCTCTCCAATACCCTTCACAGAAATAGTTTTATAGCCTTTCATGCCATGCAGTTATCTGCATTTCTTAGCCCCACTGTTATATGCATGAAGTGGCAATTAATTTCATTTTTCAAAGCCTACTGATTTTCAGAAGGTTTCAGAAAATTCTACCTTGTGAAAATAGCCTCAGCCTTATACTAATGGTGAATTTTTTAAGTGAACTTTGTTTCCTCCCTGAGTAGGTTTAACTGTCAGGTTTTCATACCTCATAACAGCCACAAAATGAATTTATGAGCCTGCAACTGAGAAAGTTTTCTCTGCAGGTAATACTGCCTTGTATTCTGTCTCGTGGGGAAAAGCAGAGACTAAGGATTAGAGCAGTGGCTGTGGACAAGAGCCCTGCAGTTAAAACTGGTACTTTAATATCATGATGAACAGGGATTGGCTCAATCAATGCCAGGATCTGTGTTTTTTCCTGCTGTGACTCTGGAGATTCTCTTGGCTTTCATGTCCAACAAATGGAGTCCTGCTCTGCAATACAAGATACTAACGATGGGGCAAAGCTTTACAAAACCACGGTCATTAACTAGTGTCTGCACTTCTCCAGTCCTTCCAGTCTGGGTCATAATCCCTTAAGTGAAAGTGCATTTTAAATAAAAGCTCTCTTTCCTTCACAGCTAAGAACAGAACCACCAGCAGCCTGCAGAACAAAAAGTACCAAAATGTACCTGTCTGTAAGTTAAAAACCAAGCCTTATGTGTTTGCTGTGTGGTGGTGTCTCACCACAGCCAGACACTGCTAGAAATTTCATGTGCTACATAAGTGATGTGGTGGTGGTGTTTTGCAGTAGAACGAAATAATAACTACTTTGGGCTTATTTCAGAGGAAATTATGGCTAGTCCCATTGTGATTGTATCAATACAGTGGAACTGTAATCCACATGGGGATCTTTTTATTTCAAAATGAACGGATTTTTTCCTGTTCCATAAATTACATAATGAGTTTAAACTGAACTACAAAGTGATAGAGACAAAGGTAAAACAGAGTCACTCTTACAAATACTTGATGAAAGCACAGTGTTAGTTCAAAGTCACACTCCGGTGCTTTCTTCTGGTGGAAGATTACAACAGTACCAGTTAAAGAACTCCCAGTTTTGTACTGCTCATCATGATGAGTTTTTGGGCCTGTAGCTGCACTGCTCATAGTGCAAGCCATGGAGAATGTGCCACTCACTTTTAACCAGATCATTTTATCACCTTATACCCATAAACATCCACTAAGCACAGTGTAGATAAAAGTGGAAGACTGAGATACGTAAAGAGCAAAGTGCTAAGATATTGTAATATCTTGGGATTTTTTGTTTACCCACTCATCTCCTGTGTTTGGAGTCTGTTTATAGATTTATTTATTTAAAAAATTGGGGGTGGCAGGGAACAGAGCAAGCAGTTCTATAGCAACTGTGTACATCTTGAACAGCAACTTGTGAGGGAATAGAGACTAATAAAGACCTGGAAAGTCTGTTTCTTCTCAAGTTTCTTTTTTGCCAGTGTCCTGGTTTGAGAGGAAGTGAGTTTTTTGGGATGCTGTGGTCAAACCAATAGGTGCTCAGATTTGAATATTGGCACCTGGTGTGGCCACTGAGGACATGGATATGCCTCTGAGAACACAGGGGGTTAAAAGCAGAGCGCTCCCGGGAAAACTCTCTCTTTGGTTCTGGTACAGCCGGGTGAGGTAGGCCTGGGCCCTGAGGATGGAAGGGTGGAGAAGCACCAGGAGACATCGGGCAGCCACTCCCCCTCCAGGAGAGAGAGAGAGCTGGTGCTGGTGCCACCTTGAATTTGATAGCACGGCCAGCGAGAGGGAGTGGGGTGAGAAGGTGCCCGGCAGGGCAGCGTGGGAGTTCTGGACAGGCAGAGCCTGAGATTTTTAACCCTTTTCTTAGATGATAGAAACCTTATGGATGCTGATCCTGCTAAAGCTGAATGAGAAGAGAGATAGAAATGAGATAAGAGGAAATGGGCCATGAGAGATGTAGAGAAGACTCTTAGGTGGGAGGAGGTGATGGAGTGCCTTTGGCTGGACTTTTCTTGTATAGCTGTAGACAGAACCATTTTTCCTGTGACATAGAGACTGCATTTAGGGGGATGCAATGACTTGGAGCCAAGACAGTGCAGTGATGTTATGTGAAGGAGTGTGTGAACAGAGGCAATGGATGAGGAGGATGGTGGTGCCCTCGATCTTCAGTGGAGGAGGAGATCTCTGTTCTTGAGACCCCTCGGCCCCAGGGAGTGAAATCTGGGGGGGACAAATGTCCTAAAAGTGAGAGACAGTGCTCTTTTCAGAACTGGGAAAAGCACCCTTAAAAAGGAGAACTCTAGAAGCAGCTCTGGTCCATGTTCAGTGGTGAGAGCACTGGACATGGAAGGAAGTGGTCACAATGGCAATGATCTCCAGGCAGTGCCATGTGTGACGGGAAACACATGAAGTCTCAACTGTGTTTCCAGGGAAAGCCTATGGTACAAGAGGGACTCCTCACTCCTTGATGAACTGAGAATTGATTATCTGAAGGATGGTGATGGATGAGAGTTGGTGATCTGAGGGCTGGATGTATTGGAAATTTGGTGAGGGGAGGAGGAATCTTTTTGGAAAGTTTGAATTCTGTGTGTTTCTTTTTACATATAGTTGTAAGTTAATAAAGTTTTCTTTATCCTTAAGTTGGAGCCTGCTTTGCTCTATTCCTAGTCACAGCTCACAGCAGACACCAGGGAGAATGGATTTTCATAGGGGCACTGGCATTGTGCCAGCGTCAAACCATGACAGCCTGACAATTTGATGCACTTTCCCAAAGGGCATCACAGAATCAGGGTCAGCTCTTCACAAGCCCTGCTATAACATTGGCAGAGCAGATCAAATTATGATGAGCATTTATGGACAGCTACTCTTGGTCTTAAAAATGCAGGAGACATCTGTGTTTTGGCTACTTGACAAAAGACGATCCCAGTATTTTCAAATAAATACACATACCACAAACATTCAGCTGTAGAATGTTGAAGGGAGGTTTCTGTATAAGACATCAAAGGAGTGAATGCCCCAGCCTCACTGACTTTTTCTGACTGTTATAAGGCTATTTTTGTAATGTTCACACTCCAGTTGATGCAATAAAGAGAATTAAGAAACCCTCTGTAGACAAAACCCAGTGTCCAGTAAAAATATATATTTTAAAAACACTAGTCAATTATTAGCCAAGCTGCTGGAGCATTAGTGCTCCCTATGAAGTAACCTTTGGCTGATGGACCTGTCCCTTTTGACACTGAAGCCTGAAGACACCTCTCCTAGCAGCCAATCCCCTGAGCACTGGGGCTGGAATCACAGGCAGACTGCTCACGGAGAAAGCACTCTGCAAATTCTGATATCTCAGGCAAAAGTTTCATAGGTGGTGGGCCATGGAGCTTCTTGTGAATATAAGAAAATGGATAGAAGAAAACAAAGCTGCCTTTTTGCCACCTGTTTGCAATAAGCTTATGTAAGTAAATGAAGATTTTTTTTTTAAAACAAGTTATTATACATACAAATATTCCTAGCTATATGAGGAAGCTGCAACAATGCATCCATGGTAAAGATTAATGAGGAACCATAATTCCTCTGAGGCTGCAGCCAGAGTGCTGTGCCAAAGAATAGAAAGTGAGTGAAATCTGATTTGCAATAACTCAGCAGGATCTGCAAAGATCAACCTGAATACAAGATACTTGTCTCAACTCAAAGTCACTTGTAGGCAGGGAGATTGAGTTAAAAGAATTTGTGTCAGGCTCTGTGACAACAAACTCCCAGAAACTGGAGGAGATGGCATCACATCCAAAACCAAATTACAACCTGGTTTGTTGTAAAGCTGGTGAGAATCATTCCAACGTCACAGAGGAGCCAAAGCTGCAGGAGCAATCAAAATCAGAAGGCTATATTGCTGGAAAACAAGGAAAAAGGAAGGGCAGAGGTACCAGAGGATCAGATTTCCAGGGCATTTCCAGATCTGTCAAGGCAGGAGGGTAGGGAGCCTGAAGGGGTGGTTTACAGCCATTTATTTACAGTATTCTGAATGAGACAGCCAGTATAAGGAAAAAAGTGTGGGCATTATGCAGTTGTATGGGCACCATGCATATGTTCTGTGTCAAAGCTTGTGAACAAATTCCAATGTAAATTATCCAATGTGTCTCAAAATATTAACGAGGATTTCTTTGTCAGTGAAGCTGAGGGGAATATACTTTGTTTAACACTCTGTATGCAGAAAGCTTTCACTAGGAAGTATTCTCTCTAAGGAGTGACATAGACCCAGGTTTTATAAAGAAATGAAAAAGCATTTTCTTTCTATAACTTTAATTAAAAAGAAAACTTCCTTTACAATTTTAGTCATTAAAAAAAAATGCCTCTTGCCCTTCCCTTAAGTGCTATCTCTAATGAAAAGCTGAATGGGCAGTAATGTATCAGTGACATTAATTTCCATTCACAGGGACAAGGGTTACTTTTCAAAGCAATGGTTACAAGAAAAAAGAAAAGGTAAAGAGTGCATAATTACTGCCATGTCTGTGTAGTTCTACAGCTGTGCATAGAACTGAAAAATTCTGAAACTTTAATCACTGCAAGTGTTCCCATTTCTTTCATTTTCAAAATGGATTTTAGGAACCATTTTATGAAGTATATTCATTTCTGAAGCCTACCAATGATAATGGGAAAATTTTAGTATTTTATTTATATGGAATATTCACATGTTTCTTTCCTTATCAGCACAATGAATCTTCTTTGTGCTTACTACACTGTTCTGTATTGCTTACTAGTAGTTCTGTAAATCTGGAATGTGGCATCTATCGTAGACCTTTGCCCATAAACATTTTAAGAAGCTACAGTGAAACAAGAAACATTTCTTGTGATAAAAATTGCATAGTTTAAAACAATATCCATTTTTCCTACATGGCTTTAGCCTGTGTAGAAGGAGAGTAAAACCAGGTACTGCATGGGTTCTGAGTCTACCATCACCTGCACCTGGTGCTACCGAAATGTTTTCAGGATTTTCCAAAAGGTTTTAGGTGATTTTTCAAGAAGCAGCTAATAGATTTTCAACTTTTTTTCAAAGGCTTGATCCTTCATGTGCTATAAGGCAATCTTCTCACTGCCCTACTGCCTCATGGAAGGCAACCACCTCAAAATTTAAGTAACTTACTTTGTTTCAATGAAGAAGACTTAGCAGTTTAAACTAGGTCTTACCGCAAATCAGTAGGGCTTTTGGTATCTAAAGTTATTACAGCTTTCAGGCTTTTATTGCATTATGTTCCATACATTTGAGAGGATCACAATTTTTAAATACCTCTTTGGGATTGCAACATACAACCTCAATTCCTGAACTACTCCCTATTTAGAGTTTTAGCAAAGTAAAGAAAATGATACATCTAATTAAATTGCAGCTCTGACATTGTATTTTAATGACACTATCTTGTAAGTTTAAATGCTTTTTAACCTCAACAATGAGCAATTAGTGCAAAATCAAACCCCTTGACACAGCTGATTTTCACAGATACTTCTAAAGCTCTTCTGAGTTCAGAATATGATGCTTATCTTTCAAAAGGACTACTAAGTATGGTCATGGACCATCTGATTCTTTGCAACCTTACCACGTTTTTAAAGGGTTACCTGCTGGTACCATTTTCTTTATGGGGATGAGAACAGAAATGTTAGAGTATGGAAAACATAATACTCCATTAATTAGGCCCTTATTCTAACAATAGTATAGTCAAGTAATTTTCACATTCCTTGAAACCTTTACAATACTTCTACCTGAATTTTAGCAGTCTTAACTGAAACCTTTCTTTGTTATATTTCATAACAATAAATAATTGTTAGATATAACAATATTTAAAGCAACTGTATTAACCAGATAACTTTATTTAACAAATAAATAATACTCAGTGGGCTCACTGAGTTCCTGCTCATATTTCATAGCTGGAATCTTTTAATGGTGTCAGTATACATTTGTTAATCATTGAATGATTAACCCATAGCTCAGGTAAATCTATGGGAAAATTAATCATAAATTTGCCAAATTAAGAAGTCAAGCAGTAATTAGCAGTATTTTCACTTTTACTTAGTGAACTAACAACAAAACAATGTTTATAAAAAAAACTAACCCATCTTAACAGCAGACTACAAGATACACACAGATTGCCTTTCTCTTATTTTATTCTTCAGGGTTAGTTTTCATTTATTTCATTAATTATTATCTGTATTGCTGCTGTTTCAGTCATCCTGCCCTTCTTTAGTAGAAGTGTTCATTAATGCAGAAGCATTTCAGTGTGCTGTTGAAAAGGAATATTAAGTCTGCATGGTACCAACAATTTGGATTTCAGTTCCTTATTTTATGATACAGATATGAAGCCCAGTGCTGTCACATATACAGCTTCCTATAGAGAAAACAGTCAATTCTAATTCTTTAGTTTTATTTGACCAACTAATTTGTCACTGTTACTGGTTAACTGCTTTACTAGTCCCCACTGTGTTGGTCATTATCATTTACACATTCTTCACAGAAAAAGTGATAACGCCAGCAGATTGAATATGCGTGTGCCACCGCTCAGAACAGCCTCTCTCAATTAAGCCTTACAAGGTGCTGACACAGGGACACGTTGTTATTGTTTGCTGTGTTTCAGGGGACTGTGGCCCTGCTGGTTCCCTGTTGCTCCCCAGAACCTCTTCATTGCAAAGCAGAGGTTAATACACCTCAGTTCGCTTGTCCAACAGCAGACAAACAAATTCTGATTCACAGCTAACAGGCCTGATTTTGAGGGGTTTGTTTAGCAAAGGAAAACCTGCTACCTTACCTTTATATTAGTGTGAATGGACTGATAGGTAATTGGGGTGATAGCCATTCCTTGTGATAGCTGAGAGGAATGCTGACTGGGGCTCTTAAGAGGGGCAGAGTTAAGAAATTACCTGGAATCTCCTTTTCTGAAATAGCCACAACCACAATGAAACCATTGCAATGTTATTCCAGCTTAGCAAAACCATTTTAAGCAGAACAGAAATTAACTGGCAATTCTTACCATCAGTACTGCTAGTAATTCTACCAATGTGGGTGAGGGGGGGAAAGTATGTTTTTACCTTTATTAACTTTTAAGAGTTTTACCTTTACATAATCAGCTCAGGTTGAAAAACCTCTTTTCTAGTTCCTGTCTCTTAGGTAACATTCTTTATCTTTTCAATTCAAAGCTCTTTTCAAGCTGGCAGCTATTGTTGTCCCCTTTTCATAGCTGGAGGCATAGAAACTCCAGGAGGGAGGTAGTTGGCCTCAGGTCACCCAACAGGACAGTGCCAGAGCAGAGAGGTGCATCCAAGGTCTATGAGTTCTTGTACTGGCTGTTGCTTTCCACTCAACATTGTTTCATTTACTCATTGTCCTAAAAAGAATTAAAATTAATAAATGAAATAAATAACATCATGGACAGAAGTAGCGTCAAAATGTCACTTTCTCTTCTAGGCATCGCTATCAGTTAAATGTGATGTTTGTTGGAGGGCCAAATGAAAGGAAGGATTATCATATCGAAGAAGGAGAAGAGGTAACCTATAGGTTGTTTACATTATTCAGATTTAATTTATCTATAATGATTAAATGCAGCTACTTTTGAAGCTATAGATTAGCTATGCCAGGCTCAGTGATGTATTTATTAGATCTACTCATAGATTTAAACAGAATCATTCACCAGAACCATACATACATCATCTGTGCATTTTGTTTGAAACAAGCACATGAGTTCAGATCTGTTTTGCTGTAATTAATTTCCAACAGGAAACTAGAGAAAGTGTTTTTACACATCCAAGTGACTCATTTCAACCTTTTGGAACAGAACTTTAGGAAGGTAATGGTATTTTTAAAACACTATGTTATTGCAGAAGATTGGTCTGTATTTGAAAAGTGACTTTGGTATTCAAAAATCAAAAATATTTTAATTCACTAGAAATTTCTCTTTTTGTTGACTTTGTGAGAATCATCAGCTTTTCAGCTTTCATTTGAGTTTGTAAAGAATAGGGTCTTTAAATATTTTTCACATCATTCCCCTGTGCTCAAAGCCATTCCACTGGTGTAGCCATTGCACCAAATGCAGCATGGAGGAAGAAAGAGTAGAAACATAACAAATTTGTAACAATTTTCACCTTCTTTGTTTACTGCCTTTTTCTTGGAATTGCTTGCTCTGTCTGGGGGCTTCACCACCACTGGCTCTGAAAGAATCCTAAGGGAAAGTGATTACTAGAGACCTGGAAGTAAGGGTATCAGGATAGAGACAATTTTCCTTGCTTCCCAGTGGAATAATTTAACTTCATGTCATTCCAATGACATTTGGCAACCTAATTTTAAGTATCTTTGGAAACTCAAGCCTAAGCATCTACATAGTTTAAGGCAGAAGTGGGCCAAGGACCTGTAAATCCTTTTGAAAAGAAAGAAAAATTCCTTTATTTATCATTGAATCATTTCTCCCCAAACCCACCCCAGCATTTCACAAGAGCCTTCGCTGATTTCCTGTTCTAACTGTGCTGTGCAGGTGATGTAGTCCTTGCAGACACACAGCTCTGGAAGAGGAGGTGCTGAGTTTTCCCTGGGTGACTCCCTCCTGTGCTGGATTGTCACTGCCATCTCCCAGCCCACCTGTGGCTGTGGGCACAGGCACATCCATCACATGCCAGGTTACCAACACTGTGTCCCTTCTCATGGGCTGTGCAGGGAGAGCTCTGGCAGCACCTGGGATCAGCCATCACACTTCTTGGGATTCCTTAAAAACAAAGTTAGGCTGATTTAATGTAACTTTTTTTTTTCATGTGGCAAGTTGTTCTTGTATTTGTAAATAACATGGCCTACCCTTTTATAAACTCTTTATATGACTTCTCAACAATATAAAAAGTTAGCCATATCTGTAAAGGTGTAATTTTTAATTTACTGTTGCATAGTGATGTTGTTGTTAACTCAAGTGGAAACAAGGTTTTTTAGGTATCAGTACATGCTCATTTACATAGTAAGCTTCCCCCAATTACTCAAAAAACAAAAATGGAAACATAACAACCCTATAAAATCAGAAACTTGGCAATGCACAGATCGGAAGCATTATCAGTTATGTACCAGTTTAACATATGGGCCAATTTTGTTCAGTTTTATAAAAGTACATTATAGTTATTCATTGCGTTTTACCATAGCTTTTTATCAGACACATTTACATCTTCCCATGATCTAACTTAGAACCATGTTTCTCATTAGAGAAGAATTGTGAGGTAGAGAGTATCCTAGTAAAAGGGCATATTCCTAAATTAGATTTGGGATTTAAAAAAAAAAAAACAACATTCAGAGCCATGTTCAGCTCATTATTTTGTCAGAAAAAGGGTAATTTATAGTTCGGGGTGATAATTTGAAGGCAGACTGTATAGACATACTGTCAGCAGGCCAAATCACGAATGTGAAAACCCACAAATTCTTCAGGCAAATTTAGCTAATGCTGTTCTGCTGTTAGTATTCCCATAGCAAAGAAGGGTTGGTTTGGAGAGAAAGTTAAATTTAGGATTGTTTATATCTGTCCACTCACTATCTCATGCCTGTTATCACACAGTTTATGGAGTGTCCTGTGGCAGAACTTGTGCTTGAAAGCCTGCAGTTCACAGCAGCAAAGGGTTGGCACGCAGAGATAAGGGCTGAGGAGCATCCTCCTCCTCCCGAGCTGCTCTCTGCTGGTGCCATTAACGTGCAGGTGTATCAGGAAGATTAGGTCTGACTGGCTAATTAGGAGGAAAAAAACCCAGAGGCTTGATTTGAAGTCTCTTCAAAGCCTTTTAGAATTGTCTCCTGAACCCATTTAGGCTAAAATGACAGCTAGTCTAGCACAATTTCTTTCCTCCTCTCAACAAGCAGGCATTTCCTAAATAACCCTTATATTTTGTTCCCTCTTAGTTTTTTCTATAGCTCTTCACTGCCTTCTTAAACTTCTGTGCACTATTTCATTACCACCATTCTGCACAAAAAGAGTCTCATACCTGAGACTGTGTTCCATGGGACAGGTTTTTTAAAGAGAAATATGAAGCTGTAACTTAGAAGAGTTAAACCATTCGCAGTCTTCAGCTGGAATTTACCAGGAAGTAATAATCCTTCTTATTTTTAAGTTCCCTTTTGCTCCCTTCTCCATCAGAACAGAGGTAGAGTCAGCAAACATCTACTCAGACATTCTCTGCCTCTAAATCAGACTCATTCAAAATAAAATGCTTTGGGAAATGCATCTTCTGTTGGAACATGGCAAAAAAAGTGCTGTGAGGATGGACCTATACATATGATACTGACAGAACTTTCTAGGAAGGGTTTGTGCTACGTAATGAGTTCTGAAGGTTTCAAAAGAATCATTATTCTGATGTGCCTCATTTGTCAAGACAGTTTTGTGTTCCATGGACTAGTAACTACAATTCTTGTGCAGTGAACTTGCTGAGGCCACTGAAAGTTTCTGTGGCAGGCCTGATGTGATCACAGAATCACTAAGGATGGAAAACGCTGCCAAGATCATTGAGTCCAACCTTTGACTGAAACCACCAGGGTCTAGATGACCATGGCACTGTGTATCATGTCCAGTTGTTTCTGAACACCTCCAGGAATGATGACTCCACCACCTCCCTGGGCAGCCATTTCAATGCCTGACAACCCTACCCATGAAGAAATTCTTTCTGCTGTCCAACTCAAGCCTCCTTTGGCACAGCTTGAGGCTGTGTCCTCTTGTGCTCAACCCCTCAGAGCTGTGGGGCAGCAGGTACTAGGGAACAGTCCTCAACATATCTTTGTCTTGGATTTTTCATCATACATAGAATTTGTGACAAGAAGAGTTTCAGTGTTAACATAGCCTACAGGCTTCATGGTGTATTTACTGCATTTTTACTTACTTGTAAAGCCTGAGGGTAGGAAAAAAAAAACAAACCTTCTTCCAAAGAAGTAAGTGAAAACTCAAGAGGACCATATATTTTGGAGAAAGTTAATGACAGATAAACCCCACAATCATATCAAATCCTAGCTCTAGTACAAGAATTCAGAATTTATTTACTGCAATGTGTGGGCTGCTTTGGGGAAAAGTGAAATATGCTAACAGCTAAATCTAGGATTACAAAAGTAGTTAGGCTGCTATCTCTTTACCACCTCAGTCCACCATTTACACACAGTGAATTTCAACTGACCTTGATTTTGCTAACTTTGATTTCTTAACACTTTACATTCTGATGTTGAGTCTATGTAAAATAGTGCAGTTCCTTGCAGAGAAATTCAAATCAGCTTTTCATCTACCACCTGCAACACATTTGCATTGACACAAACCCCACTTGGATTTAGAAGTTCCACTCCTCCCTGTGCTGTATTTTACCCTAAGTTTCTGCTCTCAGCATCTAGGTTGTTTCCTATGGATAGAGCCACCTAATTATTGGCACGGCCCCATGGACCAAAGCCCGCATACTGCAGTCCTAAAGAGAACTCTCAGAGAGGGAGTTCCCCCTCCTTTGATCATTTTGGTGAATCTCTTCAGCTTCCTCTAGCACATTTACATGGTCTGACTGAGATACAACTTCATGCTTTGAAACATGATACAGGTTTGAGGTCACATCTGCCACATCTCATCTGAGTTTTGATTTCTCTTTCTCTCCCTCTCCCACAGACACCACAAGCAAGACTTGGCTCCAGTTTCTGACAGATTATCTGCCTAAATGCAGCCTGACCCCTTCTAGTGTATACTGCTATCCAGTCAGCATGCTTTTGAGAAACTCTCCCCCTCAGATCAATTTGTCCTTGGCATTTTACAAGGACAGTGGATGTCTGAAAACAAGGGGAAAGTGGGGCTCAGTGAGCATTCCCATAGGTTGTTTTGTGGTGCTTATATTCAAATAAATGAGAACCTGAATCACAGCAAAGCAAGAGAAACATTTTTGCTTCTTTACATTTAAAAAACCCCACATTTATCTGGAAAAGACTCTTAGAATATTTTAATAAGAAACAAAGCTCCTGTTAAAATGTAGTAAGAATGATCATCCTTTTCCATCAGAAGGAGATTGTGTCTTCAGAAATGGTTTTGCTGTGTAAGATTGTTGGTATGAGTTTTGGCTAGTATTCAGATCTCACAGATGACACGTAAATGAGCAGAGGGAAGTAAAAAAAAACAAACCACACCAAAAGCCCTCAACATATTTTTCTCTACCTTCCTCATCTGTTTGTCTTGTAGACTTCTGATGGCTGAAAAACCCTTGTGATGAGAAAGGGAGAAAAGTGTTTTTCTGTATCCAAATAGATCAGTCACCACTGAAGTCTGGAGAGCACCCAGGCTCTACTCCCACATCAGAATTTGATTTGCTCTGCAAATTAATTTAATGCTTAGCCATATGACAAGCAATACAAGCCAGGATGTACCAAGCCAGAGCCTTATCCCAGAAGTGGCTGAGCAATCCCAAATTCCATTTTTAGATGCAGGCAGAACTGAAAGTATCTTGCTACTTTAGAGGTCTGTGAGTAAGCTGTCAGTTATCAAAGCCCTCATGGAGCTCCGAGTTCCTGTGTCTAGGCAGAGTTTGATATCAAAGGTGGATCCAAATTAAATTACATTCACTGCTGTACATGAAATAAAATAGACTTGCGGGGTTTTTATTTAGTCAATACAAACCAATTACAGATCCTGTCTTCTTCCACTGCTAGATGCTTCTTTGTTTACTCTGCTAGGATACACATACCGGGATGAAGGAGCAATTCTCACCACACTAATATAGTGAGGATGTTAGTGCTTCTTTTAAGGTAGTATCCACTTGTTCTACTACCCTGTTGAAATTTCTGTCAAGACAAGCATCTTCAGCAATGCTTCCACTGATGGCAAGAGTGAATTCCTACCTCTGTGCATCTCCCCTTCTTGCCTCCAGAAATGCCAGCATACTTTATTCTATGAGTATTCATAATTGAATGGAATATCCCTGTACAGAATTGAGAGTGATTCAGCACAGGCCACTCTACCTTCCCCTGCAGGCATAATGCTATCAGGTTTGAAGCATGATCAAAAAGGGTGAGGCAGACTAAGGAAGGAGGATGTATTTCTCCTACAGCAAAGAAAATTTAAGGGAAATTAAATTAATTAAAAAAAAAACCCTCTCAGTCTTAAAGTGTTTTCATTTGAATTTCGTAGGTATATCTGCAGTTTTAATGACCATATTGAGTAATGTTATGAAATAATGTTATGCTTGGGGCAAAGAAGCACTCCTAGGTGCTTCATAATTTCTAGAGGTAAGATGAGCATTAATAAAGGAGGTGTTTTTAGTGTAATCATAATGAGAAGATACCACATAATAAGCAGAAAACTAAACAAAATGCTGAAGTCTGGAAAAAAAGAAGAAGAAAGGAGGAAGATACAATAATAAATAAATAAGCACATTTAGTAACAAAGGATAAAAATAATGGTGAACAACCTTTGTTTCTTCCTTGAGACACATTTTTCACCCAGAAAGAGACAAAATTCATGCCCAATTGTGAGCTATTATGCAGTAGCAATATACAAATCCAGGCTTTTCTACAAGAAGAGATATATTAATTTCATAACATAACAAGAGGCCTTGCCATTAATAACATGTTGATAGAGCAGAAATATTGCACATTTCCTCAGTGTTTAGTATTGCTGGGGAGAATGGATACTAGATCATTGCAGTAAGAACAGTACAGCTGGGAAAGCTCATATTTTCAAGTGGTATGAACTCTATTGGTTTACTATCCTATAGATGTATATATTTGTGTACATGCATATATATACACCTGAATCTTCTAACTTTTTGATTTTTTTTTTTATTTCCAAGAGAGAGTTAAGAAAACATTAGATTTGCCCAAAAGGCAAAAGTCAGTCAGCATTTAGAAAAAAGTTTCCAAGAAAAAGACAGTGTTGCCAATCTGGCCTCTGAAATGGGCGTGGACTGTAACTCACTGAGATATTAAATAGCTGACAGTTTCCTTGATAAAAAGTTCAGGTTATATTATAAGCAAAGCAGTATATTCACTAATTGCTGCCACTTGTCTTAATCACAGTTACATCAGATGATTTATGGATGACTGAAGCACTCAGGCAATTTAAAAGAAAAAAGTTTTAAAGAACAGACCATAATTTTCAGTGAAAGGTACTATTTAAATTCAGTCAGAAAAACACTTTCATTGACAATGTGTAGCCCACGTCATTCCTCCTCTCCCACTGCAAAACAGTTCTTTTAATTCATAACTTACTGTTTATAATCTTTCCTTATGGCTGTGATGCTTCGCCTCTGAACTGGATAGCTGACATCCACTCTCAGGTTTGTCATTTCCAGTAAGGTTTCTCATCTGCATGATTCATGTCAGAACCAGGTTAAACTCTACCTCTGCTGTCCTTTTCCTCCTCTACACGTCCTGTGCATGTGTTCAGTAATAGCTGCCCCAGTAGCTGCAGGGGAAATAACACTCCAAAGCTCAAGATTTCCAAAACGATACTTTAGGTTTTGGTATTATCAGCACCATAGGACCCACAGCTGGTGGGACAATCCATCTAGATCATACAGTCTTAGATGAATTTCCTGTGAACTGAAGGAGAGGCTGTTTCCCCACTGAGATCACTCCCTGTCGTGCAGGGAGCAGCTGGCCCTGCCCAGTGGAAGGAGACCTGCTGAGGAATTGGGTGCTGCCCTTTGGAAATGCCAAGGAAAGCCAGAGCGAAGGAACACAGGGGAATGAACTGCAGTGAGGATCAGTAGCCTGGCACTGTGGCCTTCTAGACAAGAGTTATAATTTATCTGTAGTGATGTCCCTGGCACAAGGTGAACTTTTCACTCATGTAAAAGCTCTCAGCATGAGCTTTTTTCCAGTGTATCTTCGGTTCTCCCTATTGTTTTGTTCACTTGGCAGCATACTTACTCTTCCTCGTGTTCACAGAGGTGTTTCTTCAGTTCCAGGGGGCATGTATTAATGTTTAAAAACCCTTTCAGAAATAATACTGGTTAAAAAATTGATTAAACTTTTCTAATGTTGGAAAGAGTTTAGTTCAGGGGCTTTCTTTCTCCAGTGGTTTCTTCTTTCCCCTATTTATTTTTCATTTTGATGAAATTGTAGTGACTTGCTATAAATAAGGGATTTTTTCAATTATAGTTCTAACTTTGAATCATGTTTCAGACTACTTCAGCTGCACTAGCACTCTGGTTTCTAGATGTGGTAAAGTGAACATGGAAGGCATGACAAAAGTGACTTCTGGAAATATTACTGCTCTGCACTATATAAAAATGAGGAGGAATATGCCCATTATTTAAGGTCAAAGATACAGATCTGCTTACAGATGATAACCCAAGTTCTGTCATGAAACATGAGGAGCCGAGCACCTCAGAGCCCCCACAAAGCAGAACTGGGTTTGGTCTGCAAACAGCCATGGAAAGGTCACCAAAGACAGAATTTTGGGTACATTGGTTCTGTCCTTATACACCCTTAGAATGTAACCCTTTTACATACACACAGTGGGAAGAGCAGCAGCTGTTGCTGGATTTCAGGGTATCCACAAAAGGTTTAGCCTCAAAAGTAAAGCAGAACAGCTTCCAAACAGGCAATTTTTCCCAAATGAGAAAGCACCATTAAAAAATTGAAAAAGTACACCAAAAAAAACCTGGATGTGCATATTTGGAGCTTATTTGGAGAATTGGCTTATAATTTGATTGATTAAAAACTCTGCTACATCTGAAATTAAGCTTTCTATATTGTGTAATTAATGGATGCCTGAACTGAATGTTGAGCCCTCCAAAAAAGTAATTCCATGGATAAAACCAGGACAGTGGAATTCCACCAGGTCCAGAGAATAGCTCTATATGCAGTTACAGACCTCTTGGATAGATTGTTAATTCTTAGTAAGATAATAGAAATAATACATATTCTGTAACTTTTTTAAAATCAACAGATTTTAGAAGCCAGTTTTTGTTAGAAAAAAATCTGCAAATACTTGCAACTGCAAATTGAATGTATTTATACATGTATTCTTTGTATAGAGAATATAAAGTACAGAATGTTTTGGAGTAACTGCTTTAATGCTATATTATTATTTCTTCAGCTTTTTTACCAGGTTCAAGGAGATATGTGTTTGAAGATAATTGAAAATGGGAAACACAAAGACATTGTCATCCGAGAAGGGGAGGTAAAACAGGATTGTTGTTCTGTTGTAGTTGTACATAAGTATGTTAAATGAACATTTTATGTGTTATTTAGAATCAATTTATCCCTGTTGTGCAAGAGACAGCATCAGAATTTATTAAAAAAACAAACAAACAAAAGCTTGAATGTTGTATAGAAAACTTTAGGTAAATAATAGGAAACTACAATAAACTGTGTTCAACATTTGACTGTTTCAATAACAGATAAAAATTCCTCTGAACAACTGGGGCATCTATTCAGATAGTCATAGAACATACTGAGAGAAGTTCTTATTCCCCTGCATTGCATGGGATCTGCCATGTGCATTCAGCTGGATCAGTCCTTTATTTACACCTTACCAGGTACACACACTCACCCACCCACCCACACCATTAAGCAAACTGCCTAAACTGAGGAATTGAAATGATTCATACATTTTCAGCCTTCTTTAGGCCTCACAGCTCGCCTTTCCAACCATCACAGTAGGACAGCTTTAAAAGAGCAGTTTACAAATCAAATGTATCCAGTTTTTCCTTGTAGTATTACACTTGCTAAAGCATGGATTGCAGTGCTTTTACCGAGAGCATGAATAGACAGTGGCTGTTACTGCCACTTAGATGTACTACAACTGCCACTCATGGTTCTTGACACAAGCTTGGACTGCACTCAAGTCTCGGAAAGGATTATTAGGTCTAGTGGAGACAGCCTTTAAAATGGAAGGTGTGTTAAACCCAAGAGCTTAATTCCATTGAAAGCATTACAACTTTTTTCAGTAACAAAACAGAACCACGTTTTCCAACTACGAGGTTCTGGTATTACACTTCAGGTGCACACCCAGTTGAGATCTCAGCATGTCAGAGAAGTGCTAATGAAAAGGAGCGCACAATACTTGGTGGAAGGACTGACACTAGTACTGCTGAGACACCCTCATTAGCTCTGTTTTGTAGACAGAGAAACTCTAATGACTGCCCAGCCTTAGCAAAAACCTCTGTACTGCTGCAGAACATAGGCTTACCAGCTAGCTGCTAGGAAAGGGTTTATTCTCAAGCTTCAGAAATAGACTTCTCTTAACCACATGTTGCCTATTCACTTTGTCACTTGCATGACTAAATAGCCCCTCATATTTGTTAATTTTGGAGAGAGTAGCACTCCTCATCATGCAATCAAAGGTGCTCACTGTGTTGGGAGGATACATGTGGCTGATTAGTTTAGACATTTTGTTGAGCAGACAAAAAATCTGCTTTTTTATTTCCATTTCAATTACTCAGAAATTGCACTAAGTTTATAAATTTCAGATGAGCAACTGATTAGATTTTCATTTCAATTTTGTCTAGCAATGATGATCAAACCAGGAGTAGAGAACTTGGCTGCCATCAAGGCAGTGCTGATTGCAGTCACTGTGTCATCATTCACAGAGAGAGCAAGAAACAGTGTTGGCAGGGCTGTGGGTACCACAGGGTGCAGCTGCAAAGGAGCAACACGGGATCAGCAAAAAGGGGAGAAGCAGGGAAAGGAACAGAAGACTTTGCAGGTTGAGGGGCAGAAAAAGGACAATGCAAAAAACAAAGACACTTCCTGACACTGATGCTTTCTGATTTCTCTTAACAGATGTTCCTGCTACCTGCCAGGATACCTCATTCTCCTCAGAGATACAAAAACACTGTGGGTCTTGTGATTGAGAGGGAAAGATTAAAAACAGAAATGGATGGGCTAAGGTGAAGTATAAACTATTGACTAATCTGTTAGAATTCATAATATAAAATAATTTCTCATATCAATACAATGATGTGTTTTAATTTCCTGATAATTTATCTGATTCACCCTAGCAATTTTGTACTAATTCTGTTCACACATCTATTTATCTATACATGCATAAACAGAGATCTCATTTAGCATTTGCTTTAGTTAAACAAGGACCATATTGAAATTTCTGAAATACATGCTGTGGTTATAGAAATCTACTTATGTACTACATACTGCTATTGCTTTAAGTTTTAAAAAATATCTCAGAGCTCTCTTACAACCCAAATGAAAAAGATTTTTTATCAGTTCAGGCAAGCAGAATATTAATTCCTTTGCAAGCACTGAAAGTAAAAAGATGAAGAGCAGCTTTCTTGTCAAGTGTGTGGGAAGCTAAAAACAAAAGTCAATTTTCTCACCACCAGTCCCTCTACATTATACACACCTCTGCCTAGGTTTTATTGCCTTTTGAGAAGAACATCTTCATGTAAGTGAGTGGTTTGATTTGTATTCTAGAAGGATCAAGACTAAGCTTTGTCTTGTGTCCATACAGAACTCACAAGTCTAAAAGGGAAAGTCACAACAGCATAGCATTAGAAAAATCTAGAAAAGCTGTCTTGGTATTTACCAGAGATCACCAACCAAGCAGAATTTATAACTGTCCATATAATCCATACAGATTTAAAACTGCAGTGATATCTGTAAAGTGCTGTTCCTGTCCTTTTACCTACAATTTTGATTGTTGCATGAGTAATGTCACAGCAGGAAGACTGCAAGTATGCAGAGCTAGAAAGATACACTTTTTCATTCAAAAAAAAAAAAAAAAGGCTACAGAAAGAAACTAAGAAAGGGACCATTCCAGAAAAACCCACAATTAAACCCACAAACTAAATTCCAAGCTAAAAACAAGTCCAGTTCATTTAAAGTATTGCTTACCTATGCACTTTTCTCTTTTTTCCTTTCATTGCAGATCTGTAAATTGTCTGGACTTACAGTATTTAAAGGATACTTTGGGGTAGAAAAAAAATGACTAGTGATTTAGATAAAAAAGATTATTATTAAAATAAAAAGAACAAAATAGTAAAAAAAGAACTTAAGTACTAAAGTAAAGTAAACTTCACTTAAAGTAAAACAACCTACCATGTGATGTCTGTGATTGGTATGAGAAATGCTGAATGCCTTTTTAGGGATCCAGGCTGATCTAAAGATTTGCACTCCAGTATACGCATGCTTGTGTGGAGAAGCTAAACTAAAAGCTGCCTTATGGCTTGCAGGTGGAAATTAACACATCCTCAATTCAAAGTATCTAATCAGATGCCTGAAAATAAATCAGGCGTTTTTAGTGCCCTTGTCTTCACACTGATGTGGTGAATAAAGACACCTGAAGTTTTGGAAGTGAGCAATCTTGTCATGCTTTTGAACCCTACATTCCCTCTGTGTGCTCCTGGGAGAGATGGGGAATTTACAGCCTGAACCCCTAATGTTCTCTTACTTTTTTCAATACCAGCCACCTGCAGCAAAGACTGCACAAGAGGAAATCATAATGCACTTTGAAGTATGCTGACTCAAAGTCTAACAGAACTGTGTTACTGTTCCATTATTTATCATGTCTACAAACCATAGTCATAAATCAGAGCCCCCAGCATGCTGATTACTGCACAAGTGAAGAATAAGTAGCCTGCCCCAGTGTTCCAGCCTAAGTAATGATTACGTGTCTTGTGCTATGAGAAAAATGATCTAGCTAATCTTAATTCCATGGCAAATAAGTACAAAACATAAGTTTGATGTTATTCATATTGCCAGATATTTTATTTGTACCAAACAAGATGTATTTAGCATCTCCCTTCTCTGTAGATTGTCTGTGTTCAGAATTTGTGCTGGCAGCACAGCTTTTTCTGAATTGGAGGTATAGATACTTTTATTCTTCTCAGTGTATCCTCTTTTTGCAAACATGAGGAGCCAGGGAGCTCTTAGAAAATTTCTGGACAGTATATGTATTGATACCTAAGACAGATATGAACATACAGATATGCACAGGATAATTACATAAGTTTTGTTTTCCTCTTCAGACACACATTGCAATAACTTTAATCTAAAAGAAACACGGGACCTTTTTAAAAACATTTACAGTATGAGTGACAGGAATGGATCATCATTCCTTGTCTTGTCTTTTAAAAATCTGAGTGTAAATTCTGTATTTGCTGTTCCATACCTTGGTTCCATACAGCAACCTTGACTTGACCTCACCAAAATTTATTTATTTGTTAAGACAAGAAAATAATGCAAACACTAAATTCCTCTTCAGAGGGGTGACTCAAGCACTTCCCAAATCTGTGTAGCTGAAAACCATCTATTTTTCACTAACAAGTCCATAAGCCACCTTGTTTTCTCATCAGCCCATGCATGGGCATTAAGTAAGCTGACTATCAAATCTGAGTATTTATGTCATAGCTGCATGGAAGCAGTTGGAAATGGTATTTAGGTCCAGGTTTTTTTGCAGTAACTACATCCGAGGTGAAAGTTATTGGTCCCAAGACATTATGGCTGCAATCATTTCCAGTATGAAATCAGGAAAGGTTGCTGAAGGAATTTGGTGAGTTGTGATTGATCAACAGAACTACAAGGCACCTCACCACCAAGTCACCTAACCAGGGAAACAAACTTTTCCCAAATAACCATTCCTCAGAATGAAGCACACCAGGCTTGACAATAAGTTGTTCTTACACATCAAGTGGCTATTTTCTTCAAAACACTGAAACTACCTGATCAGTTATTTAGTAAAAGGATTGACTAATGTGTTTACTTTATCAGATACTATGTTGGAGAATCAACTGATGTCCTCTTTGAAAAATGGTTTCACTGTGAAGATCTCGGCACTCAACTTATACCAATAATTCAAGAGTAAGCTTTTTCCTTTGTAAATTTTTTAAATAATTGAAATTATATTGTAGATCTTTGTCAGTCTGTGGCTAATGTCATTAATTTGCTGTTTATGCTGCATTTTACATAGACTTGTTAATATTTAATTGCTACTCTATAAAATTTTAATCATGTCTTGTGTGCCCCAAATTCATCAAATCAGATTTTTAAAAAAGAAAAATCAGGTATTTCACACATCCATCTGGAGCACACTTTTTTGAACCAGTAAACTTAGTAGCACGCTGCTTCTATGTGCAAAAAGAATTGAGTGAAAAATTGTCGCTGACTAATGCTAGGTTATCAAGGTGAATCACTGAACTGCTTTAAGGCTTCTTTCACTCTTGCTTTTATCTAAATACTTTAAATTGATATTATTTAAGCATGATCAGGACTGTGGCAAATTTGGTAGGGAGCTACTTTCTAAGAAACATGTGAATGTCATTAACGAATCAGTTTGTTAAATGGTTACTAAAGGTGAACAAGGAAAGTGTTTAGTAACATTAATCTTGTAGGACTTTCAGACAAATCCGTTATCGCTAAAATAGATAAAGTCTTGCATAGATGTGATAGTAGCTGAGGATTATCAGCACAAAACTTACTGGCAAGTGTTGTTGCCTAGTCTTTGTTAACCAACAGAACGTAACTTTTTCACTTCTGTTTAAATGTTCATTATTCCAGGTTTTTCAACTCAAGGCAATATAAAACTGGAAAACCAAACCCAGGTAATACAAATTAATTTCAGATTTAGAACAGTTTCTGATTGAAGAGCAATGATTTTCACCATATAAAATAAGTATCTGTTTTTCTTTCTGGTTGTATAAATTAAAGTTATTTTTGGGAAGCAATTCCTTTCATTACCCTGACCACAAGGAAATTCTATATAAATGATTACCAACAGCATCTTGCTTGGTCATGTGATGCCATCATAACCACTTATCAGGTAATTATATTAATGTGAAATGCTAGTATCTCTATCCTTACATGCCTTTCAAGTCTTATACTAACAAAAATTCACTTCTGACAGCCCATAAAGTGATTTTTACAAGTAGAATTAATACACTTCATACCTATTTGTACTCCTTTACCTACAACTGTGATCTGCTTTTGGGAAACCTAGACGATTTTAGTTCCCATAGGGTCTGATCTGTTTAGCATTTTATTTCCATGCTGTCTTGCCACATTTTTTATTTTGTCTCTGTTGTGGATAGTGATTGCAAATTCCACACTGGAACAGATACTCCAGTTGTAACTCCACTTAAATCTATTGGAAAGAGACATAGGACAGAGAAAGTGACTTCTAGAAAGCAAAGTTATTGGTTTTGGCTTTAAGAGTCAGATCTCTCAAACGTGATGGTGCCTTTCTGCATGGCAACAAAAGCCTCAATTGCAAGAATATTGCAACAGCACCTTCAGTAGGAAATTTGTTTTGCTGAAATCTTGCAATCCTGTTGGCCCACAGCTTTAAATGAGCACCCAGCACGTGCATGATCCATTGCCATTGATAACATAAACCATGTCCAAAATATCACTCTTACATCTTAATTATGTACAAAAGACCACACTATACAACCATTTGTGCACCTGCAGGAGCAGGCTCTATAGTCTGTTTGGAAGTGCTTTAGTTAGGTGCAGCCTGGTCAGTTCTCCTACAAGAACTACCTGGAAAGTCTCCATGACATTTCCAGATTCTTAATTGAAAGATGGAAAATCATCATAGGAGCGGCAGAAGCTGCCTGTGTAATCTCCAGGAGAGCCTGAGATTCCTTCCTGGAGAGTTCCTGCACCAGTTGGCCAAATGCTACCAGCTCAGTCATTCCCACTGCTCAGCTAGGTTTGTTCTTTCAAATCTCTGTCTCATCTTTGCTGGCAACTGATGGACATCCTGCACCAACCAAGAAATGTATGTATGGCTCAGGTGCACTGCACCCAGCTATGGTAGCATATGGTAGCATCTTGACTTCATAACCAACTTGAACGTCATCTTCCAGTCACACTCAAAACTTGAATTCCATAGCTCTTGTCACAAGAGAAATTTTAGTTTCCGCTCTCTAAAAGGTTTTTGGAACCAGCTGTCCTTAATCTCCACATCAATTCCTAAACATCTTAAGATGATTGTTATGAATTACTCTAAGAGAGACAAAAGTTTCAGTGAAATATTATTTCCACATCTGTTTCATTGATAGTCACCATTAAAAAGTCAGTCTGCCATCTCAATCAACAACAGAACAAAGCTCTCACTGAAACCTAAAATTGGGTTAAGCTGTTTTTTGTCTTAATATCAACGTTCTTAAAAATAGTTAACTAAAACACTATTGCCAACATGAAGTTTAAAGAGTCTTCTGTATGGGATAGCAACCTTAAAGCCCTTGCAGTCAGAAAGTGGCAAAGCAGTCAGGAACCCTGAATGAAAACATTACTGAACCAGCTTTAGGCATTGGTTCTTTCACTGACCGGGGAATGTCATTCTCAGGGAAAGGCTCCATGTTTCTTATCAATAAAATAGGATTGTCTCCAAGATCTTACTTTTATTTCTATGCACTGTCCAAATCTGTTTTAGTCTGAGCACGTCACCAGTGTTTGGGTGTGGGTGGTTTGGTTTGTTTGGGGTTTCTTCGCGTGGAATGTGTGAGAGCTATAGTGCAGGTACTGCCTCACTGTGTCTTCATACAGTGTTTAGCAGAGGAAATATAATTTCAATTGAAGCCTCTAGATGCTGCTGTAATAAAAAAAATACCATATCATGCATAATATCCTTGTTCAATGCAGGGATTTGCAGTAAGCATCCCTCACCAGGCTGAGTTTAAATGTCAGTAACAAATTAATAATATCAGAAACAAATAACATTAAAGATTTATATTTTTGATATTTTTGCAGAAGATTAGGGCTAAAGAACAAACCTGACAATCAATCAGAAGCTACAATATATCCTGACACCTTTTTTTAAACAAGTAATTTTGAGAAACTGTTATTGAAAAACTTGGTACAGAAGCTCTTTCCTTGTAATTTACCTGGCAGGTTTGCAGCCTAGGGAACAGCTCCCTTTTTCCAATTTTCAGGTTTGACGATAACTAACTCAACATCTCAGTGATATCTTATGCATGAGGAAAAACACCCCACATTTTTAGTTACAGAAGTTTTAGTTCATAGCTCCTGTAACTCTCAGTGAGACTGACAGTGTTAAAAAAAATAAATATCCACAAACAGTTTGTCTGAGATAGAATTAAGCTGGTAATATGTTCACTCTGAAGGCATATCCAGTTGATATAAAAATAATACTTTGGATTTATTCAGCTCTCATTTTTTTAATTTTCTTTTTTTTCCATAAGGAGAGTTCAGCAACCAGCATGACATTTGTAACACATAACAAGCTACCACCAGTTGTCATGATGTTTCACTCAATACATATCTCAACATCATTTGAGCTGGCTTACTCAGAGGATGGAGTTTCAGCCCTTTTTTTCAGTTTCTCTCCTGAAAATCCAGATTCACCTCAATTTAAAAGTGCCAGCTGAAGCACTCTCAGGTTCCTCTCCACATAAGCCTGAACTAGTGCCTCACTTTCTTAGAGAGAAATGGAACAAAATTGAGGAAAAACATCTTAAAAGAAATCCTGGATTGCAGCTCACTTATAAAAGAAAGCTGTAAATGGAATCAATCAAGCTCTCCAATGGGTTTTAAAAAAATGGAAAAAAAGCCCCCTCCCCCCCCAAAAAAACCCCAACCCTAAATCCAGACCTTTTTTGATTTATTTATGGTTTCTGGCTTAGCCAAAAGCAGGGAAAGTCCCTCTGAAAGCAGGGCAATCAGAGTATATGAAGACACAGAAGAAAAGGGACTTAAATCAGGAAAAATATAATCAGAAATATATATTGCACGCAGTCCCTACTTGAGGCATCTTCTCTGGAACTGTTTTGTATTTTATTACGAGACTCTTTTGTTTCCATGTGCAGAAATTAAGAGAATACTATCCCCTTTTTTTATCAAAAAGGGTGAATATTTTTAGGATATAGGCTGTACAGGGAACTCTCAAGATGGGCTGGTTTGGGTTACTTGTCATATTTTTTGACATGAAGAATCATAGTTATCAAAACAAGCCTTGCTACTTTCAGTTCAATCAGCCTGAAAGCAAGATTATCCCAATGTAACGATTTCACCCCACTTTTCTAGTCAAGAGAAGACTCTAGTTCAGACAGGGACCCTCAGTTCTAATAAAGAGTGATGGCTAAATATTCTTTGCAGCAGTAACCAGAAGCTCCAAACCTTTAACTGCCATGCCTGAAATAATCCAAACTTCTTTTAGGAGTAATTTGATGGGAAAAAAACTGCAATAAAATTTTTTTCTACAGATAGGTGTGTTTGAAAAGGAACCTCATGAAGATTAATGGTATAGGTAGAATGTCAGGAATTTGTTTATCCAAACTACTCTACTTCTAATTATCAATGAAATTTTATTTCCCAAACAAGCTTTATTGTGATTGAACATTCAGATATGTAATGTAAAAACCAGTCCTGTAGTGACTTCATGAGAAAAAGTTTCATTGATTTTTGGTGTATCTTGGATGATTTTCAGTCTAGATTAAGAATCTTGTTAGTACAGTTAGAATACAGTGCGGTTTTATGTTTGTGATTCAGAGCAAACAAGACCTAAGCAACTGAATGAGCATGAAAAAATAGGTATTTTCTTCAGTCAGTGGAGCAGGGATTGCCAATGAGCCTAGGGCATGCTCTGTAAATGTTCTGTGGTCTCAGCAGTGCTAAAGAAGTTATAAGGGTAAGTTCAGCACTATAAAAATCAGCTTCTATGTGGTTGTCCTCTGTAGCTAATCCAGTGAACCTCCAGAGACAATATTTGCTGCTCAGTCTTGTTCCACTGATATATAAAAACAAGCAGATATTTTTTCTTCTATTTTTCTTCTTCCTTTTCAGTTAATTGGCTAGTTGGCAATGTTAATTCAATTAAAACTGCTTCAGAAAACTAAAAACATGCAGAAATAAATTCTGTCTACAGTTGCACTAGAGCAAATACAAGGCCATGTTTTGAACTTCAAATAACTGTATAAACATTTGTGCCTTTCTGTTTTCAGTACATTGAAATAATTCTAAAGATACTGTCTCTGTGGTATTTTTTTCCCAAATAAGAATGCTAATTTTGAACATAAAATTTATTTGCTATGTATCTGTTTACAAAATTGACTATTTGATTCTCTTTACTCTCATCTTGAAAGACTTCCAACACACCTAAATGGGTCACTCCTTCTCTTCTATAACATGGTACTCCTTTCTGCTCTGAGTACTTGTATTTAGAAAACAACAGTATATGAGCATTTAGATATTAAGGAATATCCTATTAAGGACTAACCAATACAGAGACTAAATAATTTTAAACTGTTCTAGACCCATCAAAATTGTACAGTTCCCCACAACACCATCTCTGTAACTTTTATCAACAACTTGAATCCTCCCCTTTTCTCTATCATCCTCATTGCTCTCTTCTGGCAAAGATGACCATATAAACACACTATTCATTTTTTGCCTGTCATATGCAATCCTTTAAGTAATATCCAAGTCATGTTGATATCTCTCCTCAATCTGCACCCAAACTGCAAAGGATATGTAGGTAGAAGAAGAGGATAGAGCCATATAATAAAACCCTTCAATTCTTATGAGCATGTTACTTCTCACATTTCATCTATTTCATCTCCTCTCATATTTAAATGAGGAC